TACACATCTGCCATATGTTTAAAACTACATCCTTCTATAATATAAAGGACCTTATTGTATTTAGAAATTACACCAAAAAAATGTTTTTAATCCCTTTAACACCCATGGATAACTGTATCAATGTTTTGGCATTCATACTTGGAATTTCATGGAAAAATTACAAGTTACACTATAGAAGATTACCATTTTTCTGTGTATTCCTTTATTTATTTTTAAAAGATTACATTTACTTGTCAGAGAGAGAGAAAGAGAGCGAGCACAAACACGAGGAGCAGCAGGCAGAGGGAGAAGCAGGCTCCCCGCTGAGCAAGGAGTCCAATGTGGGACTCGATTCCAGGACCCTGGGATGATGACCTGACCTGAAGGCAGAGGTTTAATGGACTAAGCCACCCAGGCGTCCCTATGTGTTCCTTTAAAGATGGGGTTAAAACATTAGGAATGACTTTAAGGCATTTTGCCCATTAATATATGCCATAATTTAACTACTTTATTATCTACTGGGCCACTTAGGTTGCTTCAAAGTTTTAAAAACAAATTTTAAGAACACCACTGCAAATTGCATGATCGGATACATTAATCTTAGTGCACATCTCTGAATCGTAAGATAATTTATGCAAAAATCACTAAAAGGATATAAAATCTTCGTCAATCAACATATACTGCTAAGTCAGCTACATGACACTTGCCAATCTGACAAGTTCTGTATCTCCCACTTTTAAAAATACGCATTCTTTGGAAGAGGCATAAAACTGTTTTGTATCCTATGCTTATCGGTTACTTTTCCATTTTTATCCAAAACTGCTCCATTCCCCCTCTTCGTAGATGGGGATCACTCATCTTTATTTCACCCCCACAGCAACTGTGAGTCTGTGTTTTCTCTGGAAAAAGCATTCTCTTAATAGACGAGCACCTGCTGGAAGCCATCTGGGGAAGGATGGCATACGGCAGTCTCTGGAGCAGCTTCTCTGCATGAAACAAAATCTTCACTGATGGGGGATGACTGGGAGTTCTGAGAGAGTATTATTTCTGAAGTCCTTATGCGCACCTTCACAACTCTAAAGCTTTTTTCTAAAACTATATTCTCAACACACCGAACAAAATCTTTCTTGTAAAAGCCTATCTCCTTCCGTACACTCTCTTCCCCGACTGAGGTACTAACTCACACCTCTCCTAAAAAGCAATGAAACGTTGTCACTAAAGCCCATGCAGTATTTTATTTATGTGGGTCTTCTCTCCTAACTAGTGAGAGCCTTCTGTGACCTTCCTAATTATTAGAAAACTGCCATCTATCCCGAGTGTCTAATACATTGGTCACTATCAAACATGCAGAGTTCACTTAATTCTAGCATCTCATTTTCTAGAAAAGGACACAACGGTCCAGATAAGTATCATTCTCTTGGTCAAGGAAAACCAGGGCCAGAAGCACTCTTTCCCAATCACCAGTCCATGGATCAAGTGCATTCTCCCAACTCTACGTAGCTGGGGATGCCAGCAGCACTAGCATGCTAGGAACCTTTCTGGATGAAAAAGATAAAAATCTGAACTTTTTTTTAAAAAAAGATTTTATGTATTTATTTGTCAGAGAGAAAGAGGGCAGAAGCAGGCAGAGTGGAGGCATAAAGAGAGGGAAGCAGGCTCCCTGCCAAACAGAGAGCCTGATGCAGGGCTCGATCCCAGGACCCTGAGATCCTGACCCAACCCGAAGGCAGAGGCTTTATCCACTGAGCCCCCCAGGTGCCCCGAAAGTCTGAACTTTCGAATAAATCAGAACTTAAAGATTCAGATAGGATTTATTTCAAAGCAGTCTCTCTGGAAAGCCATGCAAATATCTCAATGATGTTACAACTGGTCAGAGGAGCTTTGTAATTTCTCTTTTGAGAGTGCCTTTAGGGCCAGTTCATAAGAAAATCATAATTCTTAAACTTAAGGAAATTTCAGAATCATGTATCATTTTACACCCCAACTGATGTCATTCAGTTTTTCCATTTATCTTATTCTGCGAAATTAAACGAACTTTAGCCATTTCAAAAACTTATATCCAGCTTCAAAGCATCAAGATGACTTCCTACACATTATCACTAATGATCCTCCAAGAGAATATAACATTCTAGAAGATCAGCTTAAGAGGTCAGAAATGATGATGGCACTGAAAACTTCATACCCTCTTTACATTCCTTCTCTTCCCAAAGAGACAGCTTTACTGCCATTTTGAGGGGAAAAAACCCAAACTTGTATAATGATAGAAATTGTTTTTAAAGGGTATTTTTAGTTAGGCAATCGTGTACCTACTGAAAATTCTCTAAAACTTATTTAGAGGATACCCCAAAAGGTGAGCATGTCAAATAACACTGGATATATACTGAAAAATGCCTAGAAAATTGTTTTAAAGTAAATACATCAGAATGTAAATAATACCCATTGAGGGACAGAATTATGAGACATTTTTTTCTTTATTTTTGGTCACCTGGACCTGCTTACATTCCTACTAAGACTATGCGGCGTTTAATAAAATAAATAAGTAGCAATCAAACATATATATATACACATATTAACATTCCAAGATCTAAGCAGTAAGGAAGCTTAATCTAAATTTGCACATCTTAATATTTAAGAGCTCAATTTGGCTCAGGAAGAAGGGTATGCCTAGATACTACAGAGGCAGAATTTAAAAAGAATCTAAGGTTGGGATTATCTAATCTCCTTGCCCTTCTATATAATTCTACAACTACCTATACAACTCAAAAAGGAAACCTTCCCTATTCTAAATGAGCCACTAGCTTTCAAAATGTTTAAAGCAAATTCAACAGTAATTATATTGTTGATGACCTGAAAATAGGTCACCCCCCCAACTGATTATAACTCTCTTATGCAATGTTCCTTTGAAGGAAACAAGCACAGCTTGTACAAATATTTCAACTACTTCTACTTCCCTAAGAGAAGATGGTACACATCTGTAGGTATTTCTAAGTTCTGAAAGCACATACAAAGGCAAAAGAAAAATTATGAAGAAGTTAAATCAGCCTAGTCATTTGTCCCAAGCAATTTCATATTACATCATTAATTTAAAAGTACATGGGCATCTGCTGTGTCACTGGTGAATAAATAAACAATGTCTGAAGTTTAGACATGTTTACTTTGAAAGTTATGATGAAATAATTACATTATCTGGAAAAATATGTTAAGATAAGGTTTGAGAAATAACTACATTTCTGCAGGATATATAATTGCTTTTCTGTATAGTTCACTGTTAAACAGTTATATTGATTTCTTTCTGACTAGGAATTTAGGGCTCAAAACTATCAGCATGCCAATTTTTAGTCTTTAAGCAAATGGACATATATGAAATATATCTGAATTTATATGGTTTATACATTCCATTTGTAAAGATTTAAAAATCATACTACTCCAAGTTCAAATGCCTGTACAGAAAGAATGGATCATCAGGGGACAGGCGACCACAACCTAACAGAAAAGCACCCCCCTCCCTCCCCAGCCCAACCCAAGCTGAGTAACACCATTCCATCACCCTAGAATGGACTGGGAATGACTGCTGTCCCACCCCTACAGGCATTAAGTCAGATATATTTGGGGATTATCTCAAGCTCCCTTCCTATTTCATCATCTTGATAACCCTTCACCTCAGAGACACTTGCAGCAAGGGGGAAATTTCCAATTCAATCATTTATAAAGTATCTTCTCCATTCCTGAGCTTAGAAAAATCATCCAAGGGACCTTAAAAGGAAATCACCAATTTATTCTTAAAATGAACGCTCAGAGTTCCTGGCATAAGAAGGAATTACAGGAGCTCTGTATTACTTTTATAGCACAAAGCTTGAAAGCAGTAGGGTAGCTGGATAGTGGAGTTCTCAGAAGCTGCTACATTTTGACTAAGAATTAGCCTACGATGATCCTACCTTTTCCCCATTACTTATCTTAGACAGAAATGTGGAGGCCCAGAATCAAAACGTAAAGCTGAGGGTGACTTTGGTCCACCTCCTTAAAAAACCAAACCAAAACAAACAAAACAGAAAGTGTTTTTGTTGGAAGGTGAGTGGGGTGTGTGGTGTCTAAAGTCCAAGAGGACTGGCATGAGTTCCAAAGATAAGCCCACGGCAGTAGCAAGACATACCAACCCTGGCAATTCTGAACATGAGGTCCAGTGTGACTGAGAATGAATATATTCCAATTTTATTTTTTCTTCTTTCTTAAAATTGGTCAGTATTTTATAGTATTTCAAACTCATCTTTAAGTAAAAATTTTAAAAGCTGACTTAAATTCGCTGGGTTACTACCATTCCACAATCTCAAAACCTTAAAAAAAAAAAAGGGGGGGGGGTCAACCTTCAATCAGCTGTACCTCTATAGCGTCTGATGCTAACAGACCTACATTGTCACTAAGTGCCTTAATGGGGGTGGGGGGACGGGTTATAGTAGTATCGCCAATTAGGGCAGAGAGAAGATGAAGGAGGAAAAAAAAGTACCTCTTTATACAATCCCACTGAGGCTCCTACTCTACTTTCTTCGGCTGTTCAGGGGGCTAAAAAGATGAGGAGCAGAGAGAGCAGGAAAGGGGGAGTTCACTGCTAGGTGCCCACAGCTGCAGTGAACAAAAGCAGAGGCGGCTCTAGAGAGGATTCTTGATGACAGAATTAGAATAAACACTAACATTAATTCCAACCACTGAGCAATTAAAATGAGATTTAAGGTATGTTTATTATTTTACTGCTTAGCCTGAATAGACACTGGGCCTTAAGACAGTTTCATCTGACACTGACAGAAAAATTTAGTTATAATCATTACAATCAGGCAAAGGTATATTTAATCATCTATCACACTGTGAAGTCCCACAAAAAGTCCCTGATTAACGGAATTTCTCGTTTTTAGGCTTTGGTGAAGTAACCATTTCTGGAATTATCTCTCACAAAATGCCGGTTTTTCTTTTTTTTCCTTTTCTCTGTGCTTTCAAAACTCTCTAATGAGAAAAACTGAGTAGTTACATACCTATAGATGGAGATTTGAAAGGGTATTTATCAGGAAGATCCACTCTAACTTTCCATACTCCGCCTTCATATGGTGCTGAAATAAAAGTAAAAATGTTGAACATTAGAACTGTGTCTCCACATTAAAAAATAAACCTAAGTTTAAGTGAAACATTAAACCCTAGCATATTTTGAAAATCTTACAGATTAATTCCTTTTGAAAATCTTGCAGATTAATTAATTCCACATTAATTAATCAGCTGGTATTCTATGTTCAGATTAAAATAACTTTTCTTTAAAAGATGTAGAGTTAGAAAATAAGATTCGTTTCTCTCCTACATTTACCCGATTTTTAAAGTATTAAACACTTAGTTCATAAGTAACAGCTTCCTATTTCAATCTGCCCTGTTGACCCACCCCCCATCAAAAACAAAAAACAGAAAAAACATTTCCCCAAAACCATCCATGAAAAAACAAAAATCTGTTCTAAACTGTCATATAAAGTAATTATGGTAAAAGCAAAATTTCCTGACTGGTTCTAGAGTTTCATTAAATTTACTGTTCAAATACTACACATACCTCCACTGATATTCTCATTACCTACTAAGGAGTAGAGAAAAAGAAAAACTGAAAAAGAAGAACACATATATGAACACATGTACTTACTTCCCTGTGGTCCATAAAACTTCACTACAAATTCATTGAGTCCTCCCAGGATCGTAACCTCATGCTTACTCTCAATGCTAAGGTGAAAAGTAAAGGAAAGTACACAGGCTTTGTATTACCTGGAAGAACTAAAGATGATATCCCCAAGATATGCTATGTAAAGTGTTACCAACATTTTTTTGGAAACTGGTAAAATATGAAATATACATAGTCGTTCTGGTCATGTAGAAGGCAATATATACTCTTATGAAAAGAATGCGAATAAACTTCAGATTCAGAGACAGGTGTTCAAATCCCAGGAGAGCCACGTACTGGGTCTGTGGGCCTGCACAACATAATGTAAGCTCACTCCCCAAGCCTTTGCTATCTTTGTCAATCAGGAAAAACCACTTCATAGGATTTCTGTGAGGATCAAATGGGTTAAGTATGTAAAACATGGAAACTGCATTTTGTAGATAATATAAATGAAAAATAGGCACTTAGTTTTAGTTTTTCTCCCCTCTGTAGTCTCTCCTTGCTAATCTACCCCTAGTGAACCTTTAACATAAACTCCATTATTCATTCCCTTTGGTCAAATTAAAAAACTTAGCAAATTACCAATTCTCCTAAACTCGAAATGCTATGTTCCTGAAGTTATGGATTTACTTAAGCAAAGTCCCCACCCATTTTCCCCCTGGCTTCGAGAATAATCAAATAATTGTGATGTCACCTTCCTACAGGTACTATTAAATGCAAAACAGCAGCAAAATCAATCAATAAATCTTATCTCTAGTATTTATTTCACCTACCTTTTCCCTCCCCTTCCAAACCTCTCTCCAGCTTAGGTCGGCCTCTAGCTTCTGGGATGTTCTGGGGCTCCAATCACAGGAGTACTTGTGTGTTCTCTTCCTCAGAAACTTATCTGCCCCTGAGACTCTTAGATGTTTAAGGTACTAAGATTCAACTGTAAAAACCAAACCAACCCACATCAGTACAGAAGGTGGCTACTTGTCTAATATCGACCTGTTGTTTTCTATTTCTTCTTTGTGGTCTAAACAAATATTAACTCGGGGATTTTAGGTACTGAACTTTGGGGGGACCCTCACAATGAAATTAAACAAGAAAACCCCAAACAACCACGAAAAAGGGGACCTCGAATGTCACAATGTAACTGAACAAGAAAACCCCAAACAACCCAATAAAGATAAGCTGGCCTCAGGGTTCTCCACAGCCGTGCAAATCACATTTTAATTACAAGAATTATTATACCAAAGACAAAGAACCCAAAGAAATTTTAAAATGTTCTCTTACACAGAGAAAAACAGTATTTTTAAAGATATGAAATTACATATTTGGCTCTCCTATCCTCTGTCCTACAGGCCAAAGAACAGAGGGGCTAAGTGTACTTTTGGCAAAGTCCTTCCTCAAAAGTCTTGAACAATCCCCACTAGAGATAATTAATAGGACAATTTAGTCTATACTAATTTGATCTCATTCTTTTCTAAATGAAAACTGTTTTAACAGCATGCACACTGAAAGGACTCAAATAGTATCCGCCCTGGAAAATACACTTCATTTCTCACTTGGTCAAATGACACAAACATGAATGCTTTGGTGTACAAAACTCTTCTTGACCACTCACCCTCTGACACGGCAAAATATTCCAAAGTATTAATAGGTTAAAATTTGTTTTAAAACAAACAAAAAAGCACCTCGAGTTACAAGTTAAATCTAGTTACAATAGACAAAATTAAATATAAACAATAAAACCCTTGAAGAAACAGACTTTTTAGAAATCATCTTGGGGTGAAAAGGCTTCCCTAAGAGTAACACCAAAGTCAGAAACCAGAGAGAAAAAGATTAGCAGATATAAGCGCACACGAACATTTAAAACTTTTATACTGTAAACGACAAGATGAAAACTAGGAAGAAAAAAATTATAGCATATGACCAAAAAATGTAGATTACAATATAAAAGGTTATTACAAAGCAGTTAGAAAAATTAAAGGGGCACCTGGGTGGTTCAGTCAGTTAAGTGTCTGACTCCTGATCTCAGCGCAGGTCATGATCTCAGGATTGTGAGATGGAAGCCCACGGGCTCAGAGTCTGGGCATGGAACCTGTTTAAGACTCTCTCTCTCTTTATCTCTCTTCCCCTTCTCCCTGGTTCTCTTTCTCTCCCTGCTCTGCTCCTCCCCCACCCGCTCCCTTGGGGGAAGAAAAAGAAGGAAAAGAAAAAAAGAAAAATTAGAAACACCTTGACAGAGAAAAGACCAGGACAGCCAAGAAAACTGAATGAGCAAAATTAAGTTTTAAAAAAAGTTCAACTCATTAGTTTAAAAATAAGACATTTTTCACTATAAAAATGAAAGGGCTAAAAAAAAAAAAAAAAGAAAGAAAATGAAAGGGCTAAAAAAAAAAAAGAAAGAAAATGAAAGGGCTGATGAAAACCTAGTGTTCAGTGGAGTATAAATTCACATTCCTGAGGATAAATTTAGCACTGTGTTCCAAAACTCAAAATAAATTTATTCTTTTATTCAAATTTCACTTTTATGAAGTTTATTTTTAAAAAAATAACCAGACACTGCTGGTGGGAGCGTGATACAGTTTCAACCACTTTGGAAAACTGTGGGCGTGGAAAGTACACATACATGTACCCTACGCCCAAGAACACTACTCCCACTAGAGAGCCTTATAGCGATGACCACCAACACAGAGGTTTCAGAATGCTCACAGCACTATTTATAATATCCAAAATTTAGGTTACAACCCAAAGGCTTGTCAATAAAAAGGATAAACTATGGTTGTCACCCAGCAGAATACTGCACAGCAATAAAAAATGAATTGCAATCATTTGAGTGTATGAGTCTCCCAGATATTACAGTGAAAGAAACCAGATACCAAAGAGCACATGCGATGTGATTCTTTCGCTACACATTTCGAACAGGCTAAATGAATCAATGGTGTTAGGAATTAGGATAGTAGTCACCCTAGTGGGGACAGCGAACATTTCAATTGGTTCGAGGGGAACTTCTCAGGTGCTGATTAAACATTTATTGTTCCACTTATCACTGAGCTACAAAGATTTGTGGACTTTTCATGTATATGCTACTGTTTAACAAAAAGTTCACTAAAAAGAAAGTGTATCTGAAATGTGCAAATATGTTTATTGGAATATGTGAAATTTAAAAATGGAAATTAAATATTTATCAAAAGGAACTGATTAAATGGGTCATTAAGCGATTTTATACAACAGGCTGCCACTATATCCACTAGTGTTTACTGGTGCCCTCTCCACACCCAGAGCTCCTCTAATGTACGTTTCTGCTCAACTTGAGATATCCAGAAATAGGCAACTGAATAAAGTAATACAGGTAAAGATATCCCCGTCATTAAACAAAACCAAATAAATTCACAAGGAAAATGAAAAGAACAGAGTAAGGTAGAGGATTCAGAGAGTTTAACAAAAGAAGTCATAAACTAATTCTATAACCTAAAAATCTATAGAAGCAATATTCCTCATTAGTCAGAACCAATCTGCTATAAATAGCATTGGTGGACAGTAATTACTCTTAATTAATCATTTAAAGTTATGAGTTATTCACATGGATGTCTTTTCCAGAAAACTTAAGATATTTCTATCCTTGACATGTATGCAATAAATCTTGGCTTCTTCCATTTTGTGATCTGAGAGTCAGTCCATGCTTTTATCTACTTTCCAAAGAAATTCTCCTTTCCCAACGGTCATGTTAAAATGAGATTAGAGGTAATGCTCCAAACCTCCCCTTTCCCATGATCCCTGGTACAACCCTCCTGTCAGATATACTGGGTCTGTCTTTAATTACACATTATACTGTAAACTGAAGAGTTCTTATAGTCCATTTTGTTTGAAAAACTAAAACTAAACTGAATGAAACCTTTAAAACTCCTACCAAGTTGGTAAAATGAAAAAGCTGTGCTAAATTTATACTGCCTTAGAATGGTACAGACCACTGAGTCAAATGGAAACAAAGAATTTAAGTTTAGTTGAAAGAAAACTGCATTAAAAATAAGCCATTTCATCACCACGAATGAATGACTTGCCCACAAAAAAATATGGAATTACTTGACTACTGTTACCATGTGTATTTATGGGAGAGGCCACGGGTTTCTTTCTCCTCTCTGTTGCAAAGTCAAGGGCAAGGAAGGCAAATGAGAAGGCAGGTTACAATGACAAAAATAATTATCTATTTCTGAGACGTGCTGGTCAGGCTAGTAGACTGGCGGGAACACACTAGAAGGTTTCTTGATTACTCTCTCTGTTACAAAGCTTGAGCACAGAAAATAGCCCTCAGATACTGTTCCGGTAAACGTATGTTAAATAAACCCATAAAGCCACGTTTTACTCACCTATGATCTAAGTTATTCGCAAAATACTGCTTTTTACTTACTTAGCATTTCACTCTTCAGGACTCTCAGCATTTTCAGTATAATAATGATTAACATTCATGGGAACCCAAGCTCGTTTCACTTTTAAAATGCCAGCCACCCACCACCTTATTTTCCCTGAATGGCATTATGATTACACAATCTAATATTTAAAGGTTAATGCCAAACTGTCAAGAGATAACTGACATTCTTGGCAAAACGTGTCTATCGGGATTTTAAAGAAATGGCTTTTATATAGTTCTGGAATTTTCCAGAAAGAGCGCCAAGGGCTAAAAGCCTGTGCCACAGGATTGACGTTAACAGGTCAAAGACCTACGAATCAGACAGCATTGTTAGTCCTAAGTTGACTGATAATGAGCTTATAAAATAAATGAGGGTGGCCTCCCTGAGCTGTGTCCATGGAAGTAAGGGAATGGGGAGAAGAATGCGCTTCTGTGCAGAAGGTAGATGCAATCTCTGTGGCTTTCTCTGTGTTCAGACCAGTCTGTTTCCAACCCTCCTTGAGATGAATCATACTACAAACATTGAAGAAACTTGCAAACCTTTACTCAATACCTAGTATTCTTGATAAGAACGTGGCATGTCTATAAACCCATGGATGTGCAAAATATCATGAAAATAATACTTTTGGGGTTATGTTGGTTTTTTTTTTCCCTGAAGATTTTATCAAA